TCTGTGAGATAAAGAACTCCAGATCAACCATCTGGGATGCCAATGACAGAAAAGGATAGTATCAATAAATAAAAAAGAAGTTATTTATATCAACTCCAGTCATGAATAACTAATTACAGAAATGGGGACTCCAGGAGCTATACATAGCTTATCCCTTGCCTGGTATTATTTGGAGAGAGATAGATATATCTCTGTCTATCTGTAAAGACCACAGAGACATTTAGACATATTAATATTTGTATATATTATATGCTTTCTTTTGACCTCCTCTATCCTATCCTCTTACTATTTTGTATAAAGGTGGTTTCTTCATGGATAGGTTTATAATGGAGTCTTTAGGAAACAGAATATTCAGAATTATAATAGAAGATTAAATATCATCATAAATGGATGTTGTGATTGTTACTTAGAAATGAACATGATGGATGTTTGGATTTTGCATATCTCCTTTTTGGACAAATGAAGAGAGTCATTGCATCTTATTGTGAAATTGTATGAATATGGACAGAGTATGTATATGGTACCAAATAACCAGAAGAATGAATTATTTCAGTTATTAAGCACTTTTCTGTCAGTTCAAAATCCAACCTTCTATACTCTAAAAAGTTTGTAATGTTTCAGCTAAACTGCTTAGTTTTCATTTTCCCTCAACCACTAGGATTTCTATCAGCTTCTTCCAGTAGGAGGAACTCAAAAGAGACTAGAAAGCAGATGAAAGGGGAAAGGCATATTCTCCCTGTTACAGTCTTACTTTGCCTTTTAATGTCACCCTTCACCTTGAGACAGTAGCTGATTCCAGTCTCCAGTTTGGGTTCTCTGAGAACCAGCTCTGTTTTCCTCTCCCAAAGGTGGCAGCTTCAGTCAGGCGGTCCCTCCTCCCTGTGAGTGCTCTCAAATCTGCAAGTGTCCGCTCACCAGCTCCTGAGATGCTGTTAATAGCAGCACGTAAGAAGGCCTCAGAGGTCTGAGACGTCTGAGGAACCTCTCCCCTGATTACCCATGATAATTACATAGTGGGGTGGCGACCTGTTCTTAGAGGTCTGATTCCCAGCTTTGGGGTTCTCTTTGAGCTGCTGAACTACCATCCCCATTCAGGGGATGTCCTCTGTACAGATGATTGAGTCCAGCTCTAAAAGGCCTCTTGTGTAAGTTTTTAGGTTCTCTTAACACTATCTTGTTAAGTTGCGATATGAGATGTGAGAGTTCAATGTGAGATATGAATGTGAGAGTTGGAGTATAAAGAAAGCTGAGCACCGAAGAATTGATGATTTTGAACTATGATGTTGGAGAAGACTCTTGAGCGTCCCTTGGATTGCAGGGAGATCCAATCAGTCCATCCTAAAGGAGATCAGTCCTGAATATTCATTGAAAGGACTGATGCTGAAGCTGAAACTCCAATACTTTGGCCACCTGATGCAAAGAGCTGACTCATTTGAAAAGACCCTGATGCTGGGAAAGATTGAGGGCAGAAGGAGAAGGGGATGACAGAGGATGAGATGGTTGGATGGCATCACTGACTCAATGGACATGAGTTTGGGTAAACTCTGGGAGTTGGAGATGGACAGGGAGGCCTGGCATGCTGCCGTTCATGGGGTCGCAAAGAGTCGGACACAACTGAGTGACTGAGCTGAACTGAACTAACACTATTTTCCTCCCTTTGGTGTCTGACTCCTTTAGTTACTATCTCTGTTACTCATTTAACAGTTCTTTCTGTATTAAATTCTCTCTATTTAAATATCTTGTCTGGTTTTTATTTTATGCAGTCTTAATTTGATCTCTAAGAGTTGTGTGAACTAGGATAAGTCATCTTCCTGTTCAAACACTCAATCCCTTGTCTGTTTAACCAGGGGGTGGGGCTTGTGGTTACAGAAGGAGGAGTATAAGTAATACCAAGGTGGTCTTTCACAACTTGTTTTCTGAGAAATGCTAGTCAAGCATTTCCTTCTTGCAAATAATACTTATGGCCATGTGGACTTGGGAAATGTTAACTACTATAGCAAACTGTGATAGAATCACAGTGCACATAAGCATAATCAAGGCTCTGAGAAGCCCAGCAGAAAATCTATTTTGCTTTTATTCACTATCTCCCCTCAAATTCTTTAACTTGGGAAACTCTTCTCTTTTTAGTTAACCTCTCTTACCACTCTATGACATACACTGAAAAATTCTTAGCTGTTCAAAAGTTTTGCAAGTTTTTTTTCAAGATACTTTCACTGAGGAGAAATCTAATGCCTATAATATATAATAGTTTTAATGGGTTTTATTTATCTTTCTCAGCTCTAAGCATAGATGTTGACTGATAGTAATGTGCTTTGCAGTGAAATGTAGAATAAATGCTGAGGCAGGGCAGGAAGGATGTTAGAACACCAGGAAAATTATTTCAGGAAATGAAAGACAAAGTGAGTGAATTTTGGACAGGATTATAGGACAGACTCACATTGTATGGTTAAGTGAACAAGCTATGGATTCAACTGCTCAGGTATGACTCTCAGCTCTAGCACTTGAATACCACTTGATTCTGAACAAAATCATTCGTCTTTACTGTTCCTGGGTTTCTTATCTTTAAATGGAGCTAACAGTAGTATATATTTCACAGGTTTGTGAAGAAATTAAGTATAATATAGTATATAATGTGATTAACACTAACTTGCACTTAATTATTTCATGTATTCTCAAAAACAGGAAAAGGCCTTGTATAATGACTTAATTTAGATAATAAAAAAATTAGTAATGAAATGAATATAAGCTGTTCTAAATGGGAGGAAATTCAGAGGATGTCTATTCCATCCCCCTCAACCTATAGAACTATGTCTCCCAGAGTCTAAGAGATTTGGTCATGGAGCTAATTAATAGGGAAGTTAGATGGAGATTTTAGCTTCCTCACCCTTCAGTTCATTTCAGTTGGTCAGTCATGTCCGACTCTTTGCGACCCCATGAATCACAGCACGCCAGGCCCCCCTGTCCATCACCAACTCCCGGAGTTTACTCAAACTCATGTCCATTGAGTCAGTGATGCCATCCAGCCATCTCATCCTCTGTCATCCCCTTCTCCTCCTGCCCTCAGTCTTTCCCAGCATCAGGGTCTTTTCCAATGAGTCAACTCTTCACATGAGGTGGCCAAAGTTTTGGAGTTTCAGCTTCAGCCTCAGTCCTTCCAATGAACACCCAGGACTGATCTCCTTTAGGATGGACTGGTTGGATCTCCTTGCACTCCAAGGGACTCTCAGGAGTCCTCTCCAACACCACAGTTCAAAAGCATCAATTCTTCGGCGCTCAGCTTTCTTCACAGTCCAACTCTCACATCCATACATGACCACTGGAAAAACCACAGCCTTGACTAAACGGACCTTTTGGCAAAGTAATGTCTCTGCTTTTTAATATGCTGTCTAGGTTGGTCATAAATTTCCTCGCAAGGAGTAAGCATCTTTTAATTTAGTAGAGCTATTTCAATTAAACTTTAATTTGTTTGACCATAGAATTTTTTTTTTTTTTGGTAGTTTCCTGGATAAAGGCAAGAGTAGTAATTCTAGAATATTTCTCTCTGGGCTCAGAGTCCCGGCTGATCTCCATGATTTTAAGACCCAGCTATGGTTAGTGAGGGACTTATTGATCTGCACACACCATACCACATGCTTTCTCCTGCTTCTAGTTCCTGCTTCCCTAACACCATTCTGTGTGGGAGAAATATGGGTAGAGTTAGTATCAGGAGGAGCTGGAATAGTAGAAAGGGATAAAAATAGCCTCATTCATTTTTCTTCAGCTTGATTGAGGTACAGTTGATAAAGTTGCAAGATATTTAAAGTGTACAATGGGATGATTTAATATATGTATACATTGTGAAATGACTTACTCTTTAAAGTTAATTAACATATCCATCATCTCATGTATTTACTTTTTTTGATGAAAGCATTTAATTTCTGTTCTCTTAGCAAATTTCAATTATATGATACAGTGTTATCAACTATATTCACCATTCAGACCCTATTTATCTTAGAACAGAAAGCGTGTTGAGTGAGCAGAAAGGAGATGAAGGTTTGACTACTGCAATACAAACTCACATTTTTTTTTTTTTAAGAACGGGATGCCATGTCTGCTACTAATATTTTCTACCTCTCAGAATCCCAAGGGACACTGACACTGGGGAGGTAACCACTTCCTTTCCCCATACTTGAGGAAACTCTTCTGAGTGTTGTTAAACAGATCCAGAGAACCATGTTTATTATTGTTTTGTTTAGTGATACACTTAGAAGGATAAAGAATATGAGATATAAGAACAGTCATAATCAACAAGCCTTCTACCACTTCATGGAATTATGAGGAACATATTATTTTAAAAGAAGAGCTTAATGAGATAAAACAACACTGTACTGCAGTCCAACTGAAGCTATATACAATGCATATAGAGTTTATGGTCTATGTATAATTCATATGTATAAAAACAACATACTTTATTGACGTAAAATAGCACAGCAAGGTTTAAAACAAACGGCGAAGCTCAATGCAGGCTTTACAATGCCCCTGAAAGCCATTTTACTAGCATAAAGGCCTCCAACATGCTGGTATTAACCTACTGATAAATATTTAGACTATTTATATTTTGTTCTCTTCAGAACTAAGCCAAAATAATTATATTTTAAGGCAACCTTTAGAAGTGTCAGCATTTCTTCTTTTATCTGCTTTGTGGCAAATGTTATTCACAGTGACAATTAAAATATTGAACAATGAAGGACAAAGATTGGCAAATTCATCCAGAATCCATTATATCCTTTTATAAAGTTGTCTCTAATGTACAGAAAAGTCATATTCTTTAGCAACCTTCACCTTCCAATTGTGAAGAGTAACATTACTGCTTTTCTGCCCATACAGGCTTACTCAAAGTTATATGTTAGAGATTTCAATTTTGATTTCATGTTCAGAAAAGCAACTATACAAGTCTCATTGCTATTTTTAAAAATTCAGAAAATGAGAACTTACAGAATACAGGTTATTATGGCTGCAAGCTATTCCACACTGTTGCTCACTTCCATTGTATCTTTGGAAAGATAAACTATCCAGTATACAAGGTTGAATCCTGCAAACACAACTGGGAAGAGAATCCGAGAATACTGGTCTATTTTACTGGTACCTCCAAAGGTTGGAGAGAGGGGTGGGGGTGTTACAGGTGTTGACTGTAAGATGGGAGCTCTTGTGAGGACTTTGCTGGCCTCAGGGGATGGAACTATTGGCAATGTCAGAGATGTGATTCTTTTCTTCAGATGGTACTTCGAATCAGGATGCTGTAGAGAAAAATATACATATATATTCTGCTTAGGTAAAGGAACAGACATCACTCTTTCATTTCATCATCATTGACAGCTATTTGCTGACTCTTATTATATAAATTGAGCTTCCCTTGTGGCTCAGATGGTAAAGAGTCTGCCTGCAATGTGGGAGACCAAGGTTTGATCCCTGGGTCAGGAAGATCCCCTGGAGAAGGAAATGGCAACCCACTCCAGTACTCTTGCCTGGAAAATCCCATGCATGGAGGAGCCTGGAAGGCTACAGTCCATGGGGTCACAAAGAGTCGGAAACAACTGCGCAACTTCACTTTCTTTCTCTTTCTTTCTATCATATAAGTTAAAGTACCAACAAATTCTTTTTTCTTTTTTTGAAGTGGACCATTTTTAAAGTCTTTATTGAATTTGTTACAATATTGCTTCTGTTTTATGTTTAGCTTTTTTGGCCATGAGGCATGTGGGATCTTAGCTTCCTGATTAAGGATTGAACCTGCACCCCCTGCACCTGCAATGAATTGGAAGGCAAAGTCCCAATCACTGGATCACCAGGGCAGTGTCATCAAATTCTTAATAATATTTGATGGTGCTACTTTTCCAGAAAGGTGGTAAAACAAATTCTAAAAACATTGATTTACTAATAGCCACTGGTAGCTCAGTTGGTAAAGAACCTGCCTGCAATTCAGCAGACCCTGGTTGGATTCCTGGGTCAGGAAGATCCCCTGGAGAAGGGATAGGCTACCCACTCCAGTATTCTTGCCTGGAGAATTCCATGGACTGTATAGTCCATGGGGTCTCAAAGAGTCATACATGACTGAGTGAATTTCACTTAATATCCTATAATTTTATGTATCAGCAATTGATGCCAAGCATGATCCATGTCCCAGGAACTGTGTTGAGTATTGTACTATTAGGAAGAGTTAAGCCAGGTTATAAGGGTTTATCCACCCACTACCCCAGTTATGCATAAACCTATATGGCAATGTGTATAGGCAATGAGGGAACGTCACAATGACAGGGAATTTCATTTTGGAGTATGTTGGCAATTAGTTAATACCATAAAATAACAGCTCAGTTAAATGATAACATTCTTCTAGGCATGTTCCCAGCTTACAGCCTAATCTTCACACATTCATAAATTTGAATCAACTGAGGTATGAACAATAGCAAAAAAATTTCAAAGTGCTCATGTACATCAAAAGCCAGGCCAAAGTAGAAATACCCTTACTATTCTTCCCTCGAAATATGACTGCCTCTTGGTCCAGAGTTCTGTATTGTGAGCTTTCTGCTTCCTATTCAGAACTTCTCTACTGTCTCCTTCCATCTTAAATTACCAAAAATGATAAATTTACTAACCTCAGAATTATTAGATGTTCTGTTCTATCATTAGCTTTTCTATTCCACTGAAATCAGAGGACAACAATTCTAGTCTTGAAAGGGATATTCAGTGCATTGAGTAACAGATGAGAGGCTGAGATCTAGATGTGGGAACTGCTTCACCCACGCTTTCACAGCCAGTAATAAACCACCATGGTTTATCTCAGTGCTTGCTATATCCCAGCATCTTCTCTTCTTTACTGTAAACTACTGAGCCTGCTTCAGAGACTCTAATTATGTTTGCTTTAGACACTTTTCAAAATGGTGGAGACTAGGTGGACTTCCTTGGATTCTTACTTTTTCTTGTATACAGCCTGTAATAATCCCTCTCCTTGTGGCTGGGTTGTCCTTGCTGAGTCCCTGCCTTCACACACACGCTGTACTCTATTCCTGCTCTTGTAAAACTGCCTGGTTCCTCTCTGGCAGCAAAATCGCCACTTTGCTGCCTGGCAGGGCGTGTTATTGACACGGACAGACTCCCGTGGCTTTAGACAGCAGCCCCGTGGCTACGGCATGAGGCGGCCGCCTCCCCGTGCTCGTGGAACCACAGGACCGGAATGGCCCGCCGATGCGGGCACACTTGGACTCTGGGAAAACATCAACCCCGAGAACCTCTTCTCTCTCTGCTCCTGAATGTTGCTTTTGATTTGTCACGGGTGTTGCTGAACATCTAAATAGTAATAGTCATCACAGAATCATCAAGCCCACTGTGCTTTTGGGGGCCATAGTAAACCCTGTTTCTTTACCAAAAGCAAGAATAAATCCCTGTGAAGTCTGATTTGATGTGACCATGGTGAATTTCAAGCAAAGAACATCTTTACTTGTTATCTGTTGACCAGATATTGGGCTAGGCACTGTGGACAGAAATAAATAAATCAAAGGTATTGGAGGGTGAAGAGAGTTTCAAATAGAAGATTGCCCAGTCTACTGATCTTGAATAGGAAATAAGTGACATTTTCTATTAAAAATATGTGACAACCTCCTTTGAGTCTTTGCTTTATAAACCATTGTCACTCTCCTTTCGTAAATTCTATTCATTCCTCAAAGTCAATTTTAAGCTTCACTTTCTTACTGGAGCCTCCTTTCATTTCTGGTGCCCTTATTGATCATTCTTTCTTTTCAGTGCCTACATCTGTAATATACAATTTTAAATCTAGATATTGATATATGGGTATAATATCTGGCATTGTACACAGCTGTCTTGTTAGTCTATTTTACAAATAAATTGTTAAACAGCTGAAAAAAATGTGACAACTGAGGACAACTGTGCCGAGGGTCACCAATAGTGTGTGGATAGGACCAGTGTAGTGGTATTTCAGTCTTAATACATGCTGCCTGTCTTAGAAGATAAACATAGCATTGTCAGCCAAAGCTTTCTATCATGTTCCCCAAATTTTAATTTTAATTTTCAACTATTATATATGTTATCAAAATGTTCTCCACCTGAAAGAGCAAAATGTGTCACTGTTTAATCCTTTAAAAAGAGTTCTCCTCCTTCCAGATATATAGAACATTAAAATATTTTACTCTAATAAATTTTCTAAGTATCTTAATGGAGAATAAAGAGGGCAAGGCTTTAGAGCGGATCTTCTTTCTAAACCTGTCTTGATTTTTAATAGCATGCGTTGTCTGTCTGTCACCTATGTTTCTTTCTTTTTAAGGGAGAAAGAGGGAAGACATGAACAAGTTCATTGAGATGAAAGTGTAAATTATAATCTAGCATAAAAACATAATGTATTGTTTTATCTCGCTCTCTTGGAGATGTGGGGAGAAGGTATTTATTTGTCAATCTCTTGGCATGTCACAGTGTCACAAATGACTTAATGAGGATTGCCAAATAGCTCTTGTTCAGAGTTAAGCAAGATCATTCAAGACCTAATGCATGAAAAATTTATGCATAATAGCATTAGCTTGGAATTAAACATCTCCTATGATAGAATCCTTCCTTTCCTCATCTGCTTCCCCAGGCAGTCTCTATGGAGGGTTGCTTAGAAATTAGAGGGCAACAGAGTCAGAAAGCCCTAGTCTGCAATTCCACATTCACTACTTAGCTGTTGCATGACTTAGACATGGCAAAGGAGTCATAGATTCTCCCTAAGCTTAAAGTTTCCATCTTTAAAGTTAGAGACAATAATTATTTCATCTGTAAGGATTTTTTCCCTTTCTTTAAGAACTTGATAAAGAAAATGTCTCTTCATTATATACTTCCTGCCTACTTAGCTGTTACAGCTCTTCTTGCTATCATATCTTCCCTGTAAACATTACTTCTGTTGTGCTTTATCCCCCTTCCTGACTTGAAATCTTAATGTAGACATCTTTGTTAATGGTAGAGGGCATATTATTTTCATGTGTAAGTACTCCAAACTGCCTAGCCAGTGCATAGAACACAGTGAATGCTTCATAGGCATATGCTAAATCAATAAATGAATGAAAATTTAAACATTTTCTGAGACTTAGAAGAGTTTTCAGGCAAAGAGAAGGGAACAAAATATTTCATGATTATTTTACATTGTATTTTAGCATATTGTTTATATTACATTATAAGTACCATGCTTCCCAGGTGGCACTAGTGGTAAAGAACTTGCCTGCCAATGTAGGAGACATAAGAGACATGGTTTGATCCCTCATCAGGAAGATCCCCTGGAGGAGGGCATAGCAATTCACTCCAATATTCTTGCCTGGAGAATCCCCGTGGATGGAGGATCCTGGTGGGCTACAGTCCAAAGGGTCACAAAGAGCTGGACACAACTGAAGCAACTTAGCACACGGGCATGCACATAGGAACCATATCTAAACACTTATCATTTACAAGCACTACTTGACACTCTGCCTGCATTATTTTGCTTATTCCTAGAAAGAATCTCTAATGTAATAATATTTTGTTTTAGAGATGAGCCAATGAAGGTATAAGCAGGAAGCTCACACAAGTAATAAGTGGTAGCACTTGAATTCAATCCCTCTTAGATGCCTAAGAGTAGGGGTCCCCAAGCTCTGGGCCACAGAGAGCTTGGGGACCCCTGTCAGATGAGAGGCAGCAATAGATTAGAAATAAAGTACACATTGAATGTAATGTGCTTAAATCTTCCCAAAACCATCCCCCAACCCCAGTTCATGGAAAAATTATCTTCCATGAAATCAGTTCCTGGTGCCAAAAATGTTGGGGACCACTGCTAAGAGCATAATCTTAATAAGTACTCTCTTTCCTTCTATCAGCTTTAGGGTTTAGGGCATGGTTGTTTCTTAGCCACAAAGTTACTGATATATTGATACTTCTTAGTTGTGGGGACTGTCCTGTACATCATGGGATGTTGAGTAGCATCCTTGTCCTTTATGCATAAGATACCTGTAACACCCACATCCTCAGAGTTTTGACAACCAAAAATGTCCTTGTATCATGACATACATCCTTTGGGGACACCCACCATTGAGCATCACTGGTTTAGAATTACACTGTCTCATTGTACAACGATGGCTGGGGCTATACTAAGTCACTTCAGTCATGTCCGACTCTTTGTGACCCTATGAACTGTAGCCTGCCAGGCTTCTCTGTCCATGGGAATCTCCAGGCAAGAACACTGGGGTGAGTTGTCATGCCCTCCTCCAGGGGATCTTCCTGATTCAGGGAT